TTTGACTTCTGTTGTAGGCATTTGGGGACAAGTACAATCCTTTCCTTCCTTATTTAAAAAGCATCCAACAAAATAGGGAGAGTTGTCTGTTTCTAGGAAACCTAGAGGCTACAGTAATACAAGCAATAAGCTCTAGTAAACTGAAGTTTGAGCTGCACAATTATTATATAAAGGTCAAAACAAGATTAAACAGACAAAGTAGCAACATTTAAGGTAAATGTTCAGTGTAGAGAAATGCAGCATATGATTCTTTGAAAAGGAAATTCAGAGGTAGATACTCAGTTACTTGGAAACCCCAGTTAAAGGACTCCATGCAACACAGTGGAAGTTAGCATTGAGGTCAGATTACTGTTTGTTTCTGTCATGACCTCAGTGCAAATTCAAGCTTTTTGTTTAGATTTTTCTCTTTTATGCAGTACTGTACAGCAACTCTCATATTTCCTTTTATTCCCATCCCACATCCCAACATGATACTGATTTTAATGAAACATTCCATTAGTGATACGTTTAATAGCTCTTACAGGGCAATTTATAGCTGCAAGCTGAATTTCTTTGGATCTTTCTAGAGAACTAGGAACACACTGAAGGAGAGAAAACTTCAGTGTTTATGCTGAGATTTGACTTAACTGGCAGCCTAACTGCATTACTTTCTTGGAATTCTGGTACTTGGGGTGTCTCCCCTGTAATAAAGGAAGTAGTAAAAAAGGAGAAAAAGGACAGAGGTGTGAGGCACTGTGAAAATCTTTAACTCAGACTGTTTGGACTCCTTTGGTGTGAGAGCTGATGAGGTGCATATTAAGTTGACAAGACTTGCTTCTTGCAGGCTGCTGTGCTTTGGATTCCAGTATTGGGTGATGTGCTTTAAATTTTTCTTCACGTTGATAGACGTTTCATTGTCATATCTTTGTATTTATCTTTGTTAATCTTGAAGCAAATAGTTGTACCCCAATTTGAAGAACTGCAGGGTAAGTGCTTCAAATTGTTAAGAGGTAAATGTGTTGAATTCACTGCTACCTTTTTAAACTGCACCTGTGCTCTTGTTACTCAGCTTTAAGTATCAAATCATAAAATGTGTTGCCAGCTGTAGAAACAGAGCAGTACTACAGATGCAGTCTTTTTGTCTCTTCTAAACTGCTTTGCCGTCATAGGTGAAGCTGAGTTAATCTAGGTTTCATCTGTAATGGCTTAGAATGGAGAATAAATCTGTAATGAAGCTGAAGTAAGATAGAAAAGATGGTCAGAATCCCTGACTTCTAGTCACTTGATCTAGCGGCAGGTGTCCCTGCCCACCCATGGCAAGAAAGTTGGACTAGGTTATCTTCAAACGTCACTTCTGACCCAAACCATTCTGTGGTTCTATGATTTTGGTAAAGCATTTGTGAAGAGTACCATGTTGCTGTATAACACTGTTGAGACAGCTGTGATAGACACAGGTTCAAGTAGAATTTATCAGTGTCTTTTTATTGCAAGTTTTATATACTTTTTTATACAATTTCTAGCAGTGCACGCGACATAAGCAGTTAGGTGATTAGTTAACTATAGCTGTCCACACGCCTTAGCTTAATGTGTGGCTGGTGAATGTTTGGTGATCACGCGCTCTATATACTCCAAGCCAAATTCATTACAGCATGCAGTTAGTCTAAAAACTAGTCCAAGGCCTTATCTTACAGTTCCTTTTTATCTTACGGTTTCCTGACTTTCCCAGCGCTCTCAAGTTGTTTCTGTTTCTGCTGTTCAGGGAGTATCCAGCTCTTAGGGAGTATTCAGCTCTCAGGGAGTAGTCAGCTCTTCAGAGGTACACAGCAGTCTGTCCAAGGTCAATCTCTTCTTCTGTCCTGGGAACGGCGGGTCTGGGATCTGCAGGCCTGTTGTAGTTCCCCACAGTACCACAGGAAAATTGTAAGCTAATTTGAAAGAAGGAGGAGATCTAATGAGTAAGCTCTCTAATCTGGGTGAGAACAAGGAAAAAGATGTAAAGGAAGGTGCTATTAAAAATTAACTATTAAATTGGAAAGAAGATACCATGAAAATTCTTGAAGAATTGGGTTTGGCATATATCATATTAATGATATATATTAAAATTGAGTAGTGTCCTAGTCAAAATACAAAGCTTTATAACAGCAATATTGGGATGGTATTAATGGAGGACTGAAAACAGTTAAGCCTGGAGTAAAAGAACTGGCATGAAATACAGTACCTCAGAGTGCATTATAAGGTACTTACAGACTAAAACTAGGAGACTTTTATTTGAGTTGGAAGCTCATCATGTGAAACTGACACAAAAAGAATGACCTGGGCAAAGAAGTTATTGATCAAAGCTAACTACGAGCCATCAGTATTGTCCAGGCCTAAGGAAATAGGATCCTGGCCCTGACATTATTGCCTGTATGGATGAGGAAATACTTGTTATATGTGTATGCCATTATGTGTGACACCATTAATGCTTCTGAGTTGCTATATGTAGTACTTGAATACTTCTCCATTCAAGAAAGATCAG